AATGAGTATGGGAGCTGGCTCCCCTTTTATCTTCAAATACTCTTGCAATTAGTTGAAAGCTTAAAGCCCCCCACATTTCTGCTTGTAAAGAAAAAGCTAGAAATAGTGTATTTTCTGTAGTTTCTAAGTTTTTGAGTTGTCCTCATGTAGTACTGTGCAAATAAAATGAGAACATAAGAAAGTGTGTAAAGCTAACTCCATGCACATCCGCCTTACTTTTATTTACAGCTTGAACCACAGAGGGCAGCAAACAAAAAGAAACTGAGTACTAAAGTCTGCAAGTTCACTGCTGCCTGGCAGTTCTAGGGAGGACTCTGCATTCCCTGCTGCTACCAAGATCAATACACAGACAATTAATTTTGCTTGGCTTTCAGATTCAAATTTGCTGATGGACCTATTTCTGTTATCTCCCCTTTTAAGAGACTTAAAATGAACACATCATTTTCGCTTAAAAAATCTGAACTTGGCTTGGTCTCATATCTCCCAGACTGCTTCAATAGAAGGTGACAGCAATAAAGTAGATTCCCTTTTTATGACCTGTCAGTCAAACCAAGTCACATTCCTGTACTCTATCCTTCATCTAGTCATTTAGTAACATTTTCATCTCTTGTTGAAGATATACTATTAAAGACCAGTAAGTAACTTCACTCTTTTTGACATTTGCATCAGATGGTCAACACAGCACTGCATCAACATACTCAAGTATAGACAAACACTGATGTCATTTAAAAAAATTACACCTATAGAGTTGCACACAGCTTTGCCTGCGCTTGATTTGATAGACACAGGTAGACATATGCAGGTAATAATCAAAAGTGTGCATTTAAGTTGGTGAGTTAAGTCGTTTTTATATGATCTGCACGGTCAAATTAATGTTTTGCATTTGCAGGTTCAGACACCATACTGAAGTCTCTTTGGAACAATGGACTGAGACGTCTGTTGTAAATTTGGCTTTGGCATTTTATTAGCTCTAAAGAGTTTAGTTTTGCTTTTCCTTTTTTCTTTTTTTTGGACTACTTTTAAATACCTGTTGTAGCTCCAAGCCCACTACCAGATTGTTAGTCTCTCCATAGCTTTATGAGAAGACATATTTTTTTACTGTCTTATCAAAACCTACCTATATGTAGAATTTCTGATTTCTTTTTAAAACATGCTGAGAAAATTTTTTTAATTGACAAAGTTTTACTCAAGTAAGTCAACTAACACTGAGCAGAATATTCTGATAATCAGCTTGAGACATCAAAGGCAGCCAAACTTGCATATTCTAAAGAAAATTTCAATTTTCCACTACAGTAAAAAAAAAACCCCAAAACCAACAGATGGGCATCATGGTGCAAGCCCAGTCTATTTCTAGTATTTGAGAAAACAGTGATGTTTTTTAATTTATTCTGATCATGAAATCCTCTTGCATATAAACCCAGTAGAAAATTTGTATACTAAACTTATATAAAAAAATCTAGAACTAAAATTTAACCTGACAGTTTTATCTGACTAGCACACGTGTATTTTCATGCTTAGACTAAAACACCTAATGAAAATAAAGGCATCTATTGATTGTCCCAATTTTACAAAGTCTTTCTTTACAGTAACACCAAGGTTTTTCCTTACTTACTTTACTGCAGAAATAGATTACATGCATGAAGGAATTACTTCACATATACAAGGTTCAAACTAGTAAAGAATAAAAATTTAACTTCATATTCATGTGAGTAAGATTAAATTATTACACTGCAATTTACTTATTTACTGAAAGTGAACACCCATCTTAGGAAACAAATCTGTGGTTTAGATAATATTAGAGAAAAGAGCGTTTTATTGAATTGCAGGCATTGGAGATGGAAACATACACCAGAACAACTTATGCACCACCTTACCAGTGCTCTGTTATTAGAAGAAATGCTAACATTTTATGGGCTTATTGAAATAGGAAAAAAAGAGCTGCCACATCATTGCTTGGAAGACTATTCAACAGCTTAATGTCACTTACTTTTAGTTGTAATCTCAAAGGACCAATGCCAAGCCTCTCCTTTTTGCTGATGTTTTATACTCTTAGAAGTTCAAATTACAGGAGAAAAAACATTAATTTCCTGTTTCGTGACAGAAGGCTGCTACATGATACTGCAGCTTGAAATTACACTCATCTTTTTATATCCATAACAAAGATAATCATCTATCCCTTCTTTCCATTTAATGTTTCTTACTAGGTCATTTTTTTAGGTTTATTATTTCTCAAATTCTTTAGACCTACTGAATGAGGATCTGCTGAATAATATTTCCCACTAAATGTTAGTTTTACACTGAATCCCATTTTATTATATTCTTCCCATGTTTCTAATCTCCACATTAATCACAACTGGTTCCAATGTAGTATCTACATCAATAAAGGGAATGCTGATCTTTCAAACCTCATCTGCCCTGTTTATTATCATATAAGGTAGCTGTAAATATTTTTCTTTTTTTTTTCCAGATCATTTTGCCATCAAAACTACAATCCTGAAGACATGGAAATGATTTAATTTCAGCAAAAAATTTTAAGATTTGGAGTGTTGGAGAAACTCCCTTTGACTTTTTTTTGTTTTGGCAAATCTAATAAAGTAAGAATTTCTAAGTTCAGATGCTATAGATGTCCATCTTTTACAATATTAATGAACTATATTTATTTTTATATTCCATATGTTGATTAATATTTTCTTTCAGTATCATCATAACAATTTTTCAGACATTAAAAATAAAATCTTTTAAGATTATCAAGATGAAAGACTTAACTCATGCAATACCAACACAGTTGAGAATTTGGATTTTTCAGCTGAATTTGGAATTAATGCTTTGTTTTCAGATGTCAGCTTTTCCTAGACACACAGCAAAATCTTTTGACTTACTCTGCTGATCATCCTTTAACAAGTCTTGAGTTTTGCTTTCCATATCTCATTCAATGAAAACAAGGAAAGCAAATGCTTTAGTGAAACCAAATCTTTTTCTTTTTGTAACATGGTCTAAAGGAAGTATCTAAATACATAAAGCTAAACATCATCTTTATCAACAGCAGAAATTCCAAACTGATAAAACTGTGATTGCTCACTTCAATTATTTTTATATCAGTTAATAATGTTACACTAGTGTCAGCAAAACTGTCTTGTATTGTATATTAATTCCTGTTTTCCAATCTTTTGCAGCTCTGAATAATACATAAACAAAAGAATCTCTCCATTCTGTCTATGAATATTATTTCCTCAGCTTTTAAAATTTATTCTGCAAAGAGTTGTTTCCTTGTATTTACATCAGGTAGGTCTAAACTTCTAGTCTAAGCTTCAGATGATAAAGTGTGATCTTGCCCTTGACTGATGCTGCTCAGTAAGTACAATGTGACCAAGGCTCTTCTGCATGAAAATATTTTAAGGACCAAACAAAGCTCAAAATCCAGCCTCTTGACTGAGAACATAAAAATTAAAATGCATAAGCAACTTTAAAAAAAGGCTTCAGGAACAGTCAGCAAAGCTCACTTTTTTGTCATTTCATTAGTTCACTAAAATTGAAAAATTGTACCTATGATTGTATTCATCAGCACTGCCATTCCTAAATGAATTTTTTTTTCACATTGCATTAGTAGAAAATGTGATTTATTAGAAAAGTGAGGCCATTCTTGAAACATCACTGTAATTTTCTTATGTTTTAACTTGAATCTGCTGTTGTTATTTGGCATTGGGAAGGCTGGTAAATGACCTCAGTGTGTATAATGCAGTCATAGCAATCAAAGAAGTGCTCAGAACAAATGCCATCACCTTTTAAATAGAACTATTTGTTAAGTTCAGCTTCACAATAAATATTAAACTCCATTTAATTATATTGATTAGCAGTTCATATAGAAATCCCAATTTCCTATTTGAAAAATACCATCAGTTCTGCAAGAACTTAATTTCACAGAAACACAGCTTAGTATTTTCCAGCTAACAAAAATTATATTCCTGCAAAGACCACAAAAACACAAGGGAAAGGTGCTTAGTACAGGTGTTTCACACATACTACATATACTGGAGTTCAATTATTTGCTTAATTTATTTTAAATTAGTAAAATACAAAGGCAAATAACAGTCCGGTATTGATTACATAAACCCCTTCTTTAAAACTGGACTTGCTCACCATTCCAACCTCAAAGTAAAAGCCCAAGAAAAGCAAGTATTGTAACTGATACATACCAGTTTTCCTAAAATAAGGAAGTATTGTGATAGCACAAAGGTAAATTAGAAAGGCTGGGTGGATGTGTACAGCAAATGAAAACTTCTGTTAACGGTCATTTTGCATGCATTAAGAGTAGCTTTATCAGACATGCTTGTGAAAAATACCACAATTGCAATCATTATTCAGAAAGCAAGAATAAATACTTCTAATTACACGTTAATGTACACACAGTAATCACAGAGTAACTGAGGCTGGAAAGGACCTCCAGAGGTCATCTAGTCCAACCTCCTGCTAAAAGGAGATCTAATCACATCAGGTTGCTCAGGGCTGTGTCTTGGTGAGTCTTGAATACCTCCAGAAATGGAGATTCCACAGCCTCTCTGGGCAACCTTGACCAGTATTTGACCAAAATCTCCTTAAGTGTACAATTAGGCACATCCTGAAAATGCAAATAGTTTATTTTTATGCCTTAATTAATCAGATATCATATGTCCTCTTAATACTACTGAAAATGAGTGCTGGAGATGCCTGTCATTTAGAAAAAGCAGTTTCCATTAACTCACAGCTCTGCTCATCATCCATTAGGTTTCCACAGTGGTGGTTTGATTCTTGGAAATACCAGAAGATCTAAGTTTAGCAAATAAGCCAAAATCACATTTTCAACACAATCATCAGGAAAGAGCAAAGACAAATTGCTGCAAAATCATATTTGAAAAAGGACCTTCAATATTCATGTAAGTAGTTATAATCAGTAGTAAATAATAAAAAGACAACCTCTCACCAAACCTCTTTACTGTATTACCCATTTCACTTTCGTGTCTTACCGGTCTTTCATGTTCAAGGATTGATGACTTTCCCGGCTCATATTCAAAAATGCTTCTTGGTTCAGAACGGAACTTGCGGGTATCTACCTTTCTGTCAGGGGGATCCCAGTCATTTCTAAGTAACAAATAGGAGCAATTGAGTTAATTTACTGTCATCACCATCTGCTTTTCAGCTCCGTGCAAGAGAAACATGTAAAACCAAATGAATTTCAGCACGGTTTCTCTTTCCAGATTTCAGTTGTAAAATGTCTGGTCTAGCATCCCAATGTTTTAACCACTGTATCATCTTAACCTGTTTACAGCCAGTACACTCAGTACAGCAGGAAAAATACTAGAGATGTCCAGCCTATGTGATCACTCATACTTTTGTTATAACTGATAAACCAGTTTAAAAACTTCCCTGACATACTGTGTCAAAATACCATGACATGTCTTCTCAAATTGCAAATTTACTATACTTGTTTTATGCACTATACTAATATAGGCAAGTGGTAGATATTGTCATCACACAATACGATAATAGGTCCATACTGAAAAAGTTACAAAATTTTCTGAGACAAAAAATAAGGAATTATTTTAAAAGACAGTGTGAAAATGTAATAGATGCTCTTTATCCTGATCTGTAGCAGGACTGCTCCTGAATATCCTTGTAAGCAGTATACTGTTGCCTTGGAAATTTGAATAGATAAACAAAACCAAGAATTTGGCAGTTGACTTTGGGACAGAAATTTATTAATTTTCTCTATAATTCTAAATTTGCTTTCAATTCACTAGTGCTATGCAAAGAATAAAAAGTAACCCCTACTACTATACTTTTTCAGTCATTTACCATGTTATAGTAATAGCTACCTATGCATTTTGGGGGGATAATTAACTAGTTACTATCACAGTGAGAGCTACCTTTTCATGGCAGTTTTTGTAGTCACTACCTACAGTGCATTTGGAAAACTGTAGCTCACACATCTTTTTATTTAGCTCTGTGTAAACTGACCCACTAGTAACTCAAAGAACAGGGGAAAGGAAAGGGAAAATCCTATCAACTATTGTCTGTATCTACAATAAGAAAGCGCATACATTGACTAAATTCTATCAGTTCTATCAGCCTTTCTGACGTGACTTGATGTGACCTAACATAATTAAAAAAATCTATGGGGTAGCTTTTGTTTACAGCATGTTTGTGAGTGCAATTTCTGGGACACAGACACCTCTATTTATAAAACACTCTGTATCTCAAGGGACATAGTTCTACATGGCTCTATTGTTTATTTTCACTGAGCAAAAAATTAGTTTCAGAACAGAAAAGGTTGTATTTTTTGAGAATGAACAGGAAAATGGAAATGTTCTGATGAAGTTGCATTATACTGCGAGTCACTGAAGAAAAAGGATGCTACTGAAATTCTGATTCACACTCAGTTCACTTAATTTATAGCGTTTAGCCTGTAATCTCTTACGGACTATATTTTTGAGCCCAACTGTTAATGCAAACCATATCTTGCCTCCCAGCTATGAAACTGTGATACATATGGACCTAAGCCTCTTATGTGAGATTTTAAATTAAAAAAAGAATCTCCCAATGGCAGGAAAAGATTGACGAGCTATAGCTGTCAGCAGCAGGCAAAGCATAACTAACGTCTTTGGCATCCCCTGGCCTGGAGAACATAGATTTCCACTGCCTGTCTTATCATGCAGGAGATTAAAAGGAGGGGCTAAACATCCAAATTCAGTGCTGAAGCAGTTATTTTCAAGCCTGACAAAAGGAACTGCAACAGGCCTCAGTTTCTGTGACCAACACATTTGGCTTAGCATGGGACGATGACTCACATAACTTCAGAGATCAAAGCTAAGCAGATCCACATTTTGGTGCCTTGCTAACAAAATCTACACTTCTGCATGACTTGCTAACAAAATTCAAACCTCATGGCCTTTGGGAGGTAGCCCAACTCTAACCCCTAGCATTTCCTCTTGACAACCTGCGCTCAGCAACAGGAGTAGCCAAAATCAGTAACCATTGAGCAATCTCATAGAATCATAGAATCGTTTAGGTTGGAAAAGACCTTTAAGATCATCCAGTCCGACCATTAACCTACACTACCAAGTCCACACTAAACCAATCAAGGCTAGACTGGACTAAACCATGTCCCAGAGTGCCACGTCTGCCCGTTTTTTGAACACTTCCAGGGATGGGGACTCCACTGCCTCTCTGGGCAGCCTGTTCCAATGCTTGACTACCCTTTCCATGAAGAAATTTTTCCTAATATCCAACCTAAACCTCCCCTGGTGCAGCTTGAGCCCATTTCCTCTTGTGCTGTCGCTAACTACTTGGGAGAAGAGACCAACCCCCACCTCGCTACAACCTCCTTTCAGGTAGTTGTAGAGAGTGATAAGGTCTCCCCTCAGCCTCCTCTTCTCCAGGCTAAACAACCCCAGTTCCCTCAGCCGCTCCTCATAAGGCCTGTGCTCCAGACCCTTCACCAGCTAATTTTCCTCGCAATATAGATATCTGCTAGATTACCTTTTGGATTGCCACTACCCACAAATTTTTCAAAAAGCCATAGCTGTAGTCTTAACTTTAAACACTTAGTATGGTCTTTTCTCGTAATATTTTATTCAAACTGCAAATTATTTGAAGCTGTTTAATGTAATTCAATTTCTACATATACAAATGTTTACAATGTCCAAGCTGACAAAAATGGGCAAATTCTGTTTTGTTGCTTGAGTGTAACCAAGACAGGTGGGCTTGTAGCCACAAATGGAACAAAAAATGACCCTTTTCATATATAAAATACATACCTACGTACATACACACACATATAAATGAATTACAACATAATATTGTATTAACATGTAGTATTCATTAATGTAAACACTAAAGAAAAAGCTTTTTGCTTGAGCTAGTAGCTACAAATATGCTGAAGAGTCTATAGATTTGTGTGCAGGGCACTTTGCATGGTTTTATCAGAATGATAAGCATTTCTTTTCTGAGTTATTAAGTATGAACCTTTTCCAGACTGGACTCTAACCACTGCGACCTGGTTTTGTGCAGCAAGTTTGAAGCTGGAAAACCATGAGAAATCCGAAATGCCCCTTTAATCTGTAAACACCTTTCTGGTCTACCAAAATGGAGATGGAGATTCAAAAAAATGGGGATAATAAAGCACTTCTGAGCTCTGGGGAAACGTGGGTTGATGGCTACACTCTTACAGTTTTGCTCTTCCCTGAATTTCAGTTTACAACATCTTTTAGATCCTTTCTCTTTGCTACTGGATACCTTTTAGCCTTTAATAATAACAGCCTTTCCTACTCAGAGACTAACTATTCAAGACAGCTGCTAGAGCACGGATTATTCTGAAACACAACAAGCAAGACAATCCCGCTAACAAGAATGAAAATCTTAAATAATCATGGTGGTACCACTTGTAAGAATAAGCACTTCTTTAGCACATTGAAGAAATGGCAGCACCACGGATGATACCCATGCTACTGATCCAGATTACCCCTCATCACCTGACTGTCCCTTGAATAAAGCTCTTGAAGTCATATTATTCTATAGCTGCTATTTTATCCTTTGTGATATCCTGTAATTGGATTGCTGTACATAACCAAGAACACTTTTTGAAAATATGCTAACTTACTTTTCTGGTGTAGACCTTTCCCTCAGACGATGTGGTGGTACTGGAGGTGGCACATGTGGAGGTGGTAGAGGGGATGAGACCTTGAAGGCATCGGAGCTACTGTCAGAAGCGCTTTTAGACAATGGTCTGTACGTCTGCATCTTTGCAGCTGGGTGTGCCTGAGCAGAGAAGGATGGACTGTAGCTACCTAATATAAAACAAAACCAGAAATAGTTACAGCATGAGAATGAGTTTTAATAAGACACAACATGGAATGCTACAAGAACCCACAGTTATTAAAGCTGCAAGATTACAAAAATGTGTAAATGCATTTTTAAAAGTACATTGCTGTATAATACGTAGCTCATTAGAATACTTTTTATATATGTCTGTATAAAACTACAAACACACAGATAAAGTGCAGTATAGTTAAAATAAATTAATGATTAATTTGAGGGGGGGAGAAGTTAATGGCTGTGTATATCCATCAGAGCTGTTCATGACAGCCTGTAATTAATCCCCAGGTTCATCCTGCCGCTCAGTTGTTCTGTGTTCAGAAGGAAGAGAAGAGGCAGGAAATGCACGGTTTTTTTTTCATTGTGTTAATAATTACTGTTAGTCTGGGACAACTAGGCAATAGTGTATCTTGAAGAGGATCACAAGAGTCCAAACAGTTCTCAGACAACTGACCCACAACAAACGCCCTCAACAGTACAGAAAAAGGCAGTATGAGAGCATGTTGAAAGCAACAAACACCGAAATGGAAGAATTTTGAGTCGCATTTTTGCACAAGGCACTATGTTTTTTTTGCACATGTAGTCTATTCATACTTTCATTTTTGTTTTTGTAAATAATTTTACCATATGGTTATAATCTTCTGAAAGACATAACAATTATATATCTTAGATGAATATGCCTTTCTTGCAGCTAAATAACATCAACACCAACACCAGTGCCTATAGCAAAAATGAACAAGATCATAAACCAGAATCATCTTTATTAGGCACTCTTAACTGCTTATTTTAAAAGGTGTTTTCAGTACAACCTTTTTGTCTTCCCATGTCAGTAATTAGCATTTGTACTTTCACACAGTAGTTCCCTTTTCATTTTGATAAGGAAAGGCTGCGTTACTCACAATCACTAGTGAAAACAAATGCTATGTAATCAAGAAACTACAGTATTACAGTATATCTCATCTGCAGTAAGAGGCCCACAGCTGCAATTCATTTCTGTGGTAAGAAGGAAACCAAAATTAAACTTTGTTTCATCTGGGAAAAAAAGGCATGAAAAAAACACCAACTGAGATCAAACAAGATGACAAAAAGTGTTTATATAAGCATTATAAAAGCAGGCATGAGTAGTTAACTACCCCTGTTACTTGCTGACATTAACAAAAGACTCATTTTGAATTGAGGGAATAATTCCTACCAGTACTGTATGCATATGCAGTATTATACATGTCTGTGTCGTCATCTACAAAAAGAAATATACATGTTACAGTAGTGCAATACATGCCAGTTTATCACAGCAATGCAGCTTTGTTTTTGCAAATACAAACAGAAGATTGGTAGGCAATCAAGCACTGCATTTCTTTTCCTCATCTCGTAGGTGTTTTCTGAAGACTCTCTCTTCCCATTATACTTACCATAGGCTATTTTTAACATCTTATTGGTAAAATGGTATCTTCCGGTCATGTCACCCATATTGTGTACTTATTGGTTAGCACCAAAATGCAAATTATAGCTTTTTGTCTGTTCTTCCCCCTGCCCCAAGCTCAATTTCTTCCCTTTGTCAGCTCTCCTCCACTAGAAACTGTTAAGTTGTTCGTATCACAAAAAGCAACCTCAAATATCTACTATGTGACTAGTGTTCAAAGTAGATCTTCTAAGCCAAAATTTTCCTGCTTACATTTTTTATTCTCCCGCTAACATTCTTTGTGACCGTACTGAATGCAAGCTCTACCTGAGACAAATCAAGTCTCCTTCCTTCTGGAGGTGTAATGAGCGTAACTGCCATTTATCCATCCTTGGTGACAATCATGACAAAGGACGTTAACTCTAAAGCTAGTAATGTCACCAAAGCTCCATTTCAGCAAAACCAAGGAAGACATTCTATGAAAAAAATGCAATTCAGACAGAAAATGTATCCTCAAACCAGCCTGTTTACTAGCCCATACTGTTCTAAAACATGAGCTCTGCAAAAGCAAGCTGGTATGATAGGAGATTTACAGTGGCCAATTTCTCATCCCCCAAACTGGAGATGAGGATCACTTCAGTGAGCTCCCCAGTGACATGGAACCATACTGGTTGCATACCTATCCTAATCACTTTAAGTTTTACTTAGTTTTAGTAAAAAAATAAACCCATTAGAAATTTTCAGCCTTTAGCAGAGGAAAATAGCACTCTCTGCAGTAAAATCTATCATCATATTTACCCATTTGATTTGATTCATTACCTGACACTAGGTGAACACCTGTGTTTTACCATAGCACACAATCAAAATGCAGAAAAGTGCATTTTTTAATACCACTGAGAACCATGCAGCCAAGACAAAAGCATACTTACCAGGCTTATGAACCATATGGATTTGCTTGAACATTGTCTTGTACCAATCCTTCGGCCTGTCAACTGTCTAAATAAAATACAGTTTTTAACAATTAACAACAAATAAAAATTCCTGTGTGTACAGATCTGATCAGACATTTAATGTTATTCTGGACACAAAGTCTATTATGTTTTGTCCCCTATTTAATGTAATCATTTTCATACCATCTATTTCAAATGGTATATTTACGCTTTTCATCTAGCAATTCCTGTAACAAATTCTGCAAGACACTCAAGACTGAGTCAGTTTTGGACTCTGATCTTGGAGGGTACAATGGGCAGGAACATAGGAATTAGTGCCAGATCAAGAGTTTATCTTCTTAGTGCCCTGTATTTGACAACAATGAATGCTAGATACTTTACATGAAAATACAAACACCTCAGCAATCACAAGTGTGTAAGAAGAGCTTCATTTGAACTCCTGGCAATTTCCAACTTAAACAATCTTCAAAAATGTAATGGTTAATAATGTAGAAAAACTGAAATACTACTGAGAAAAGAATTAAGACACCACTATATTTAGGAGTTAATGTTTGGATTGTAAACAAACAGTATCTCCTCTTATCAGTTTTAAATTCCCTTTACAGGCAACTGAATCTTAACTTATTTTTCTATTTTGAGAAAAGTGAATACAATATACCTTTCAATAACTGCTCATTACATTGTACTTACACTTACTTTTGCAAACTAAGCAATCCCAAAGTTCCCAAACTCTCCTCATATCAACATTTGCTCATGCTTCTAATTATTTTTATCTCTTACCCTTCTGCATTTTCTCTCGTGTTGCAATTTTCTTTGAGATAGGATGATAATATTTCAGAAGAGGAGACAACACAAAGGCAAACATGTTTTCAGTATTATTTTTCTTAGATCCTAAAATTTTACTTGTTCCATAGTAGTTAGAAAATCAAAAGTTTTAATGCAGATGTACAAAATTATCTTCAAAACTCATGGTGCACAGGGATAATTCAAAAGACCTCTCTTGGTGTGCGTTATCTTGCATTAGCTAATACTCAATCTGTAATCACTCTGCCCGCTCCTCTTTACCATGAAAAGTGAAAATTCACAAATTCTTTTCTACAAAATAACCGACAGATCTGACTGTGTTCACCTGGCTCCATGCCATCTTTAGTGGATCACACTTTTGCCCTAAATACTTCATACAGTTACTGTGCATAATTAATCGGTTTTGTCAACAAGGGTGAGCTCTTACCATAAGGGACTAGGCAGAAAATGCTCCTATATTTTGAGGAATCAATATGAGTTCTCATAAAATTGCTACTAAATGACATTTTAAAAACTTTGTTTAAAAGGAGAGCTAACAGTCAACTGAAGAACTCAAGGATCTGTTGGGGAAGAAAGAAATTTAAGCAGCAGGTTATGCTTTTTACCTAGACCTGCTTGCAAGATAGAAATGAAGGAGATACAATTTTGTATCAAGATCAGGTCCCTTCCCCCACCTACCAACATTCCTGATTTCTGCCAAAGAGAAGATATTCAGAAGCAGATTTGGACCATTTTAACATTGTTTTTGTAAAGGTATTAAGCATCTATACTAGCGGAACTCTAGTAAGAACAATATAACTGGCTTTGAAACAAGTGTGCTGTTCAGTGCTCCAAGATCATATGTGTTCAAAAGTTTACAAGGAAGTCCAGAAGGTCTGAAGGAATTCATGCTGATGGGTATAACCTCCATGGTGCTCCTCATTTCCCACAGCAGTACAAACCTGCAATGGTTCCATGATACCACAACTGCCTTTCTGACTGTACTGGGCCAAGAAGAGCTCGAATCAGTGATAGGTGAACAGATTGGAAATAGTGCATAAATATTACTGCTGTGACCCTACTGTGTGTCAAGGGACAAAGGTGCAGAGATATCTCTTTGTCAGATCCTCTTTATCAGTCAGCTCCTCCACAAATCCAAAGGAGGCTTCCACATAGAGATCAGGTATGGAGAAGTTCCCACATGACCAGAGAAGGTCTCCCAACATCCTTCTGGACATTTGAATGTTTTCCTCTCACCATCTCCCCCCCAGTCTCCACCCTGGGGTTTAAAGCCTCAGCCAATAGTTTGGCTTTACATTATAAGCCAGATAGGACTAGTTAAGGAATAGAATAAATTAATTTAAAAATACATTTTCTCAATTTATATTCAGTAATCCCACATAACCAACATTTGTTTGAGGAATTAGCAGTACTCACAATGCACCAAGCCATTCAGATGCCATCCTGCTTTGCATACATTATTGCTGCAATTAAATGTTGGAACGTGGTATCATCATATATAATGAACAATCAGCCAAATAGCGTGAAGAGGATGTAAGAAGTACCTGCAGTTGGTACTTAGGAGAGTCCATTCTCATTGCAGTACTCCAATAATCCATCAGAAAGTATACAATTAAAGGAGGCATTTATGACTTTCAGTGGACCTTCTGTGGTTTTTTTTCTAGCTGAAATATTACATCACTAACTACAGAAAAGAAATCTGTTGGGACTTGATTTTTTTATATTCTTAGTCAATAGAGGCCTTTCAGTCTACAGAGCAATTTTGATAGTTAGACATGAAGCGATCATTTTGGATAGTCTAAAACAGTGCAGTCATACTGCTTTCCATGAATCCGTTTTCTCCTTTCCTAGGACCCTGTCGGTGGTAAACTCCGGTGGTGCCATTTGACTGAATGCTTTTCTGAGTGAACAGCATTTTACCCTCTCTTTTCCAAAGACTTAATTTTTAATGCCTTGGAATATCACCATCTTTGGGGCAGGGCTTGGCATGGTGGCAGAACTTAACAAATGATCTGAATTTTCAGGCTTCAGACTTGCACTTCCCAGAGCTGGCAGGAGGTAAAGTGGTATTGGAGGGAACATGCTAACATGGGATGGAGGTTCTGAGAGAAGGGAAAGCTTTACAGGAATCCTTCCCCTCTCAGCAGCTTTGGACAGAGAGGGTTTGCGGGAATAGAGAAGAGAACATCCCTCTACCTTCCTTGGCTAAATAGTTGTCACAAACCATATTCTGAGACTAAAGAAACTTGGAGGAGATAACTACAGCTTGAAAAATCTCTCTACTCCTGAAAAACACTCCAAATCTGGAATACAGATACTCTCAAGTTCTATGTACAAGCTTACCTTTCAGTAGCATAGTGTTTCGGAACACAGTGTGTATGTTACCTATCACCCGAGAATCTGCATTTACTCCTTTTTTGATAGACTGTTTCCATTTGCATAAAGATGGAAGAATAAGAAACTTTTAAACTTTGCATGCAATGATAAACTCAACTGATTTGGAAACTTTCTCTCTCCAGATGGAGTGAGGCTGAACTTTCTGGGAGAAGATTCCTATTTGGATTGCTCACTGACCTTAGGGAAAGAGCGAGTGATATATCCTACCTTCTACTGTTCATGAGAAATGCAGTTATAGCACTTTTGCATGTTTCTACACAGTACTGTACTTGTGAGAGGTGTCAAGGGGCAGCATATTTGAGTCTTTTGCTGACAACTATATCACCTTTGTTCTTGCATGACTGGGGTACACAGGGCTCAACTATACTCGTGCACATTTAAAATGTAATCTCAAATCAGCATCTTGAAAACAACCTCACTTCCAGCTAAGTCCTAAGGAAGGAGAATAAGGACACAAAGTGGCACACGAGAGACACACTCACACACACATACTAGCATAATCGTTTAACTCATATCTCATTGTGAGAATCATTTCTATAATACTAAGTTTACAAGGCATAAGATATTTTGAAATTGAAACATAACAAAAACCAGAGCAAATCCAGCTGAAAAATGTTCTAATTCAAATTACATTATGTTTTCAGGAGAAAATCTGAGAGACTCAGACCATACGATCTGAAAGTTAAATACAGGTTGGCAGGGTGCCAACTCTGTTAAGGACACTTGAGGGGGATTTCTTTTATAACCTTATATAACTGATATGCACCCTATTAGATCAATCCGCTATTAAAAAAAAGAACAAAAATAATTACTTTATCCTATATAAAGCATAGGGACATATTTACTTAAAAAAGGGGTAGGAAGCTAGAGCATTGCTGCAAAGCAATTCTTCATTTTTTAAAGATTCTGATTGCATTACTTTTAATGTCAAAAACAAAGCAAGAAATGCCAGAGTTTCCCCCCATTCTTAATAAAACTCCCCATCTTACCACTTATTCTGAGTTTTTCCTATTGCTTTTCTCCATCAGTTCCTGATTTTCCCCCTAATTTTTCAATCCATTGAAGCAGTTCTTGGCAATTACAACACAGCCCCATATGTCAGTATTGGCAGAGAGGATACATCCAACAGCTGCTACATCCTTGCACCTCACAAAGACTTCACCTGCAAGGGCTCTGCCGCTTTCATCCTGGCTCCCACTCTTCTTACTCTTTCTCCGACTAGCACAGCACTTCTTCTCCGGCTGGGAAGGCCAATAAGTGCTTCCTTTACAGACCTAGTGCAGCTGCCACTGTGCTCTCTGGACCAGCCAGAAGAGGCTGCCCTGACAGCAGAGTGGAAAGAATGCTTCAGCAGAGTGAAAACAAAACTCTTCAGTTCGACATCCTGGGACCACTCAAGCAGTGACTAGTGGCAGATGATCAAAACTGGGCTAGTCACAATGAAGGGGTTTCCACGCTGTTCATTTACGTGTCACTCAAGGGCACAATGATCATATATTGCACTTGCATAAAAATACTCGTCACTTAGATTATTATTGGAACAAAACTTCATTTCTACACTACCCTGATGACAGGAGAACCACTGTCCCCCAAAATGCAGAAGGGGGAGATTTTTATATAGATGCACACACACACGTATATATGTCTACTTGCATGCATGCATACATATAGTATGTATAAACTTTATTTTAGAAATGACAAGACCAACACGATTACTGCATATCTCCAAAAGGCAAGAACTACAAGAGAAGCAAGAAAGAGACACAAAGTTTTGGCTACTTCTAATTAAAACTAGAAACATGAGGTTGCCCAATTATGCTCCCATCAGCATTCTCCTTTTCCGTCAACACACAATATCATATTCATGAGCTCGCTGATTACGCACACTGTATTCCACATTATATAAGACTAGAAGAATGTGAAAAACCCATTACCAACAATCAATTCATTGTATGAGTTCATACACAGATTCCCCAGAACTTCCTACCGTTCTAATTGCTGTAGGGATTCCAGATTCATCTACCGGGCCAATCCCTGCATAATGTGGAGCTTTAATGACTGTAATTTTTTTTTCTTCTTCTGAGGATCTACAGATTGGTATTGTACTGGTGGTGGTGCTGCTGCCAACAGTCTGAACATGCTGTGAGTATGTCTCTGTGGACTCTGTAAAGATAACATGACAGACTACTGTACGACGATACAATAATCATACTTGGCAGTTATAACACGCTTTCCCATTTCAGTATTTTGTACAAAGATTGACAACGGTCTTAAACACATGCATATACAACACTTAAAAAAATCCTCTTAGCTGGGGCTTTGCCCTATTTAATGTTACTTTAACAGAATTATAAACTTATTTAAGGACTAGACGGATTATTCAACTCAGATCTTCTTAGGTGAGAGGTACTTTTTTGCAGCATCTTGCTCACAAAAAGAAAAATCCACAAACCCAGCAAAATATATTGACAAATAGTGGCAGCAGCCTTTTTCCTATAAATCAAACTCTTGCACCTTTCCTATCTGTTCTTTGAAATTAGTGATGTAATTTCAAAACTCCTCCCCTCAAATCTAGCAAAATAGAGAAAATTGTTGTTCTTTAAGCACAACAGATTCCAAACAGCCCTCCACAAAGACTTATGTGATATGTGTTTAGAAACATTAAATTTTGATGCATGAATATTTTTAAAAAACAAATTCCAATGTATAATTTTTACCCCTTAAAGTTATGTTGGTATGTTTAAGGGCCTCTACGTAAAAACCATAAAAATGGATCTCAGTAACTTGGCATCTGTAGAGCAATCTGATGATCCACCTGCAATACTTTAGGTTAACGGTGCAGGCTGTTACTGGCTCGTGGTGACTTGCAATATTTCTACCCCTCTCCCCCAAATCTTCCTTTATAATTAATGAAATTAATATGTCACTATTACCATTTCCCTCTAAAATTCAGAGTCATTCATTTAACAAAAGACACCTCACTGCTGGGATATGTCATGTGAAAACTCGTACTGCTGCAGATGATGTACTTCTCTCTTGCATGCAGGAAAAAGAGCCCTAGCCCTTCAGGCAGCACGTTTCAGTAAATTAGTGGGCTGCTATGACAAAGCATCTTTTTTTGTGAGAACAGGTGCAGTGCTTGTGAGACATTTCCACAGCAGGATAAATGAATGTAGGGCGTAAAAATAAATATTCTAACACTACTGGTGAAGATTACAATTGCCTTTCGTGTGACATTAACATCTTCTGAAGCAAAATATTTGAAGAGTAATATAAATCAGCAAAAGGAGCTCTGGTGACTGAAAGCTCTACTTTTAATTTGAATATTTCTGCTCACTGCTACTGCAGAGAACTGGATTTGGCATGGCTGTTTCTGCTGTTTGCTCAAGTTTGAAATCCTGTAAATAATCCAGTGCTACACATATATGGTGAGGGGCAATGCTGTGTGGCAAACGTCTGAATAGTTGGGCCTTTTTCCCAAAATGCATGATGTTAAATTTAGAAACCGTTTTGGATTTGATCCTTTATAAGCCTCAAACTGAGACCATCAGTAGGCTTTTTACATGAGCAAGCAGAATGAAATCAGGCTGTTATTGTGGAACACAGAACTTCAGCATCGTACAAGAATAAAAGTCATGGGAAAACACTTTACTTATTTTGGGTATATCCAAACCAGAATTGATAGGCCTTTAGATCAGCAAACTGGAAGCAATCAAAGAATCTAGAATTCTGGGATGCGGAGAACCCCATGTATACGGTTTTTGTACTTATCACTATGATAGGGATAGCAGCATTTGTTTAAGCTCTAAGTCTCAGAGTGAGAACTGTCACCTAATTTCCCTGCATGCACAACAAAAAAGTAAACTCCAGGATCACATTCAAATTATTTTGCATGTATAATCTTATCTGAATACGCAAAACACTGGTAGAAAAAGCAGCAAGCAAATGATTGTTCTGGCAAAACTGCATTAATTTGGCAAAGCTCCTTTCTAAGGCTGATCACGTATTTTTAAAATAAAAATTAGCAATGCCCTACCAAAAATATACATAAACAAATTATAGAGTAACATGGTTCTAGGCGTTTAAAAGCCCAGAGCCCCACCCTTTGTTGGCAGTATTTCTACTGAAGATTACAAAGGTTGTGGGGAGAACCAATGTACAAAGTTGGCCCTTGGTTTCTTAAAGCAGGCAAAACTTGAAGGGGCTGCACAGGTTGAGTTATTTTGATACATGCTCTTTCCTCGGTAAAGCTAGTAGAAAGGTGCCAAGAGGTCACTCTCACACGCATAAGTAACAAAACTTAACAGTAACTCCAGTTCAGGATCACTACTGTATCTAACAATAAATGCTATTATTTTTTTTCATTTACTTCCTGAGGTAGATGAATAGGCAATACCTTCATTACGGATGTGAAGTGCTCTACAATTGTTTGCAATCTTTGCCACATGAATTGGAATATGTTGCGTAATGTATAAAGCAAACATTCTGTGTGAGGCTTACCCATCGTCCTGCCATGCTGCATGATAACAATGCTGGAATTGAGCGAAGCTGGTGGAGAGTAAGCTGAAGAAGGGGAAAAAGGCCTTTGAAAATGACTCACTGGGCTGGCAGCAGTGCCAGAGTTCCCATTCACTGTGATCTGAGCCTAAGAGAAACAAAACAATATCCCATTAAACTACACACAAAGCCCTCCGACTGCCATCCCAAACAAAGGGTGATGCAAGACTGTCATCCATACAACAACTACCAGTTGTCAGGTACCTAGCCATAATGGCATCTGCATTCACTGAAGTACAGAACTCATCAGAAGAGGAGCAGACTACGTTCCTTATCTACCTTGTACCTCCCCCCTTCTATCCTTGTACGTGCTGCCTGCGAAGCATCCTGAAGTCACAGTAAGGTGACAGAAAGACCATGGTCAAGGCAACGAAGATGGCACAAACAAGGTCTGCAGAGGTCTGACAGCAATATAAAATGAAGATGGCAGTAAAAGTTCCTCTCTTTGTGTGACAAAGGCTGCCTGCCACAGATCGATCACTCCAAGAGACATACTCCCTTAACACACGTGCTCAAGCCCTATGGATATTAATGGTAACTTCTGTGCAGACTGAAGGGAAAAGTCTCATTAAGACTAGCTAAAGAGAATGAGCCAAAGCTGCTTTAAAAAACAGAAGCCAGCTGGAGTGACTATGGGATGTTGATACGTAATCTATCACAATAAAAATAAATAGCACCAATAAAAAAAAACCCCTACAACCACAAAACAACAGAACAAAATTAAATAAATAAAATGGGAAAGCTAAGCAAACTGGCAGCATAGCAGCATCACAAGCCATTTAGGCTTTAGTCACAAGAGGTACTTCGGCAACAATCTGCGTCCCTGCCCCCAGGTTTAGAATCCCCACATCTGGGCTGTAGCACTTTTATGGGGAGTATTGCACGGATCAAAACAGATATTGAGAAAGTATTGAATGAAATGAGAGGATAGTGAATATTACAGCAGAAAAGGGAGGGAAGCTCTCTGTAACATCTCTTTTAATGCAGGCTTTAAATCTGAAGAAAATCAGAATTGCTACCAACTTTGCTCAATTTTACGTAACAAAAGAGAGTAACTAAGACATGCTGTAAATGTAAAACTTGAGACTACCTGTAGCAGCAAAGCGTAAGTAAAAAAATGTATTAAAAGGCATAATATTTTTACATTTAAAAATGAAATGGTTCATGACCTCTTGTATACATTTGTATTTTGGAGATTACTGATTTGATTTGAAATTTTTAATATCCCAGCCACCAATAGCTAAGAGAACAAAACAAATTCTGGCTCCTATGCAGACATCATGTGAACTCCTAGATGCATTCGGGAGTTTCTCATTTTAAGGATGCCTGTTTTCAGAACTGAGCTGAAAAGTTTGTGTTGTGGTGATGTCTCCATTAAAACTTGTGTGTAAATGTCTCCTCTCTTAATAAAGTCAAGAACCAAAATGTAAACTAAGTTGGCTTTTCTCACACCATCCTCCCCTCCAAAAGAACTTGGAGCTGTACGAATACAAAAGCTACATGAGCTCAAAGATAGCATTTCAAGAGGTATGAAGCTATGTTTTCAGATGAGGTTTCTAGATGACGCCAGCCATCTCTACCCTGCTTCAGGGGTTCACTCCTCTTTTCCTGCATATTGTCTTTTTGGAAAAGCTTGTTTCTAGGGAAGGCAGGGTGCAACCATATCCAGAACCTTATACCTTCTTAACTCATTTACAATGCCTTTTGTTTCTCTGAAGAGAGGAGCAGAAGTAGTGTGAGTTCTTTGTAGACTGGAAAGCTACTGTTATGAATTTCTGTAATAAAAAATTTAAGATATTCGCGTGATGGACTTTACCAAACAGCTGGGTTAGACAGTAAAGCTCTTATGCTAAGTTGTACACAATATTATGAAAACAGGATCCACACAAGTAGGTGATGGACATCAGTCATAAAGGTATATATGGCATGTCCATATATGGTACTTTTGAGTTTGCTTCTAAAGGTTTTAGAGAAGGTATCAGCTCAGCTATAACTTCTTAGTTGCTAATGACCTTCTCTTTGAGGAAAGTTTCTGTGAAGGTGGCTATTGCATTGGTTTATCTGATGCATCTTGCACTGGTGAGAGGGTTAGTTATAAGAGATATGCTTGCAAACCTTCAAGTTCCAAGGGCCTTTTCCTGCCCTTGGAATCATTTGAGAGCTATTGACATTTCAACCTGAGCATGTGATGCTTTAGTTCCAGAGTCTGTTCCCAGATTTTACAATGAAGTGAAATCTTTAAGATGCCTATTTGTGAATTAGACCTTTTAATTTCCTAGGTAATCTCCTTTTTGGGAAAATAAGATGATACAGAAAATAACTATTTCACCAAAATGCACATATTTCCCAGCTTAGTGGGAAGATAATCCTCATCTCTTTCATGCTGTTCATTTCCCTAGGCTCCTTCATTTATTTTTTTCTGCAGTATACTTTACCTGTGCTCCACTGCTAGCAGAGCCACCTACTTCTGCTACTAGGTAATCAAATTCTTGTGAAGATTCCTCCTAGGTACTAGGTTTAAACTTCCTTTAATTTGCCTAAGCATCAGAAAGAGCAGCTCTCTGGACTTCTGAATCAGAGCAAAGTGTCTATTTGGGATTGGAGCTGCTTTCTAACTTTCTCTCTGCTGAGGCAGGCAGCAAAGGGAAAGAGGTTCCATTACAGATGTCTCAGCAATTTTGTGCAACAATGCTGCACAGCACACCCCTGGCCTCAAGACATTGAATTAGGCTGAAATACTCAGGATCAATTCTTGAAACTCGAGGCAGTCCTGGAACTTGGGAAAAGGCAAAATCTAATGTGTACTTCTATTTCCAAGTTTCCATTAGATTCCACAATTTTAAACTACATAAACAAAAAGAACCCATGAAAATTACTTTGTAAGGGAAATGTTCATAATTGGAATAGAATCAGAAAAAAGAGTTTCTAAAACCAGCTCTTTTCTGATTTTAACTCCAATTATAAGCATAAGCCCAAACAAGAATACAACTCTCATACTTCAGGTTTTCAAAGAAGCTGTAATCTGTGACTAAAAGTATGGTCAATTAACCCCAACTTTATGTTTAGCTCTGCCTTTTGCCTGGAATATTTTACGATTTTGTTAATTCAGCTCTTCCTGATGCTGCTGCTTCTTCTCAGAAGATCTGCTGTAAAACATTTTTGCCCAAGCTCTCATTAATGACCTCAAGAATAAAGAAACATCCCCAATGTGGACATAATGTCTTTGAAAGCATGGTTCTGTCTTATGTAGGCACAGTGCTGGATGGCACAATCCTGTATTACTCGTCCTGTTCTCTCAGCCGTTTTCACCTACAAAACCAACAGGAGTCTCCTTTGAGAATGAAGATCATTACAGGAGCAGAGCCACCAGCAGCATGTGTGTGTGCCACCAGCTTCCCTACCATTTTCTCATTTCATGGATACATTTATAGTAATCTGGCCCTCCTCTACAGAGGATAGGAGATGAAGACTTTTCTACACTGCAGAGGTGGGTCTTGCCAGCAGTTTAATTTCTGTAGGGCTCTTAGGACTGTTTGGGGATTTTTGCCCTTTGGTGGGGGACTCACTCTTTCTCTTTGTCCACTAATAGTGAACAACTGTTATGCTCATCCCTGCCATGTCTAAGAGAGAAAGTGGTAGTCAGACCTGACCATAACATACCCCTCTACAGGGAGACTACCCAAAAACAGGAAAGAAGGAAGGACTGTTCACTTTGGCTTACCAAACTGGTGCTCAAAGAAAACAAATACAGTTAGCTGATTATTTTAGAAGTAGGTTAGAAGAAAATATAAATGTTCCATACTTCCCATAGCTAGTAAATGGTCATGTAGTGATTGTGCCTTATTTACATGTACCAGTCTATATTGATTATGGGATCTTTGGTTACAACTACCAGGCTGTATGCAGATTCACAGTATTGAGTCTTTAAAACAAAACAAAAAAAGGTTTCAGAGCTGTGTTACAAGAGTTAGGAATGACAGCTTTTACATGCCTGTTATTAACATTATTTTTTTTAACAGCATCCAGAGCACTGACAACAGTTTGTTGACTTTCCAGGTGACTATGTGGAAGTTTAGGCTCACAATACCTTTTATAAAATATACACCAAATTTTTAAAATATATACAGTTTGCTCTTTTCAGACTTGAAAATCATAGCATGCTGAAGTATTTATACAAAGTTTGAACACTGTTGTGACCCAGTAAAACTGTGGTCTCGGAACATCTCTCCGCTTTGTAATTCAGCAACAAATTGCTCAATCTAAATGAGGGCTTTGTTCTGACTCATTTTAATCATGTAGCTAATCCCAAAAGAAGTAAGAAGTGATCTGGATTTGACGCAAATTCCATACCTTCTTTCTACTCATATATGAGTGTACTAAGGTACAGAAAAGTGAATGTACATACAAAATGTCTAATTGCATGCTTTTTTTGTCCTTGACTTAACCAAGAGAAAAGTAACACGACACCTGTGTACTACAAGATTATTTATGAAGTTCACTCCTGTAAGAAACTGTGCTTAGGGGAGGAAAAGGTTAGTTAGAGGAGAGAAAAACAGTTTCGTGCAGTCAGTGGTCATGGCTGGGGAAAAAACTGCGTTAAATATTGCCAACATTTACTATGAATTTACAAGTTATATTATTGAAAACTGTACATCAGTATAAACCAAAAATGGTAGCCCAGAGGCTATAAACTCCACAAACCTGTATGTCACTAACAGTATTTTAAACAGATCTCTTCAAACTCTACAGACCACTTGCTTTTAATGCATTTGGAACAGATATTTATTGAATTTATTTTCATTTATTTTAAGCAAAGTGTTTGATACACCTTAGCTGACCATACAACTGTGCAACAACTTAGTGTCATTTTCCTATTACCAAATCTGCTATGCCAATGATTTTTTTTAAACAACTGTTGCAAAACATACTGTCAGACTGCGAACACAGAAAACTACTAATGGAATACTTGTCTGTGTAACGGGATAACAGACAAGTGTGAATTCTTTTCCCCTTTGACAACCTGTTCAAACAAAATGGAGGAGGAAAAAAGGAAGCATAATTACATGAGAAGTGGCAGCAGTGTTGGTT